TCAGGGAATCGTTTTCTAAGGGATGAGATGTTCCAACTCATCACCTTCACCGCTCTGTATCTTTGCCTGGTATTAACACTGGCCATTATGAAATGTATTTGGAACTTTGTCTGGTATTAACACTGGCCATTATGAAATGTATTTGGAAAGAAGCAAAAGGCACTGTATGATACTGTTCTTTTCTGCGCTGCTTGTCCTTTCAGCAGGCAGTAGGCCACATAACGTTTTTGAAACATTTCTAGAGCATGTACTGCTCAATAATTGTTGAAAGTCAGTGGCAGACAACGACACACTTTGGTTACACTCGACATCACCACCATTTCTGTTTGTGTTTGTTCATCTTCACTGACCATGTCCACAGAGGCATCAGTAAAACTGTTACCAGTATCACTATTTTATCTGCGTGGACACTAGTTCCTGGTGGGTCTTGAGTTTCCACATCTGGTACTGACATCTGAATGTCTTCAGTTTGACTGTAATTTTTCCATAACTGCTGCACTGTGTTGGTGGTGTTTTTTTTCTGTAGTGTATCACAGAGGCTCCTTAACATTTCAGTTTGAGCTGTAAATTGAGCTTTGAGTTCTTTAATTTCATTTTTCAAATCATTGATCTCTTCACGTTGTGCGTGTTCACGGAGTGTGTTGGCAGCTACCTGTTGTGTCGGTACGTCTGTGTTGCCCCATGCTGATCTTTCGATGACTGCTGGTGATGACACTGGAGCTTTGGTGGGGAGGGCAGGCCAGGGGTTGGCCGTAGGGAGTACCCTAGCAGCAGTAGTGTTTCTTGAGACCTGCCTGGGTGACGGGTCTGGGCGCTAAAGGGGTGTAGGAGCTCTAGAACAGTCAGGGTGCCATACAGGAACTCCAACTGTTTTGCAGTTAATACACTTCTGTTGAATGACACCCCCTTGAGCAACTGTATCTCTGCAAGCCTGTGTTGCATGTTGCCTTGAGCAGAGACCACACCACGGCTTAGTCGAGGGGCATAACCGGGCCACATGGCCCCAGTGCTGACAATTGTAACACCTCCGGTTAGGGGGCTGATAGAGAGTTACCTTCAGAGTCCGATAGGCACCACGGACTCGAATTGTCTTGGGTGGGTCCCCCGAGCCAACCCAGTCTGCAATGACTGCATTCTTGCCCCTGAGTCGCTTCGTCCTTCTGATGTCGGGATGAGCTTCTAGTAGTGTAGGGGTCTGGTACTGGTCGAGCCCTATGATTAAGATGGTTTTCTTGCTCGATGGTTGGGATGATTGTTCCATGGTTATTCCCCTTATGCTACTGGTGAGGAGATCCTGTATGACTGCTGGGTCGCTTCTAATCAGAACATGATCTTGTGTACCGACTCTGAACTGAAACTCAGTGTCTGGGTGTTTATCTTCCGCATCGTTCAGCCAGAGATACTTGACTTCAGGTGATGTACCTTCAGGGAAGTATAATCTTACTCTCATGGGGGTTGAGGTTGTAGTTGATGGTCTCTAAGTTTTTCTGCCTTTTCGGCCTTCCGCTTGTTCCTGGACTGAACTAGTTGAAAGCCATCCTCTCCGTTGGTGTCAAGGTCAACACCATAGTCGCCTGGCTCACTCAGTGCATCAGGAGAGTTAAAGCGAGTAGCTGGGTCTCCAGTCAATTCAGACATGGTGGAGTTACAGGACTCGACCTACAGTATATGCCTACGTCAGAGGGCCGAGGACTGCTTGGCACTCATAGGAAGTCAGCGGTGGTTGGGAGGCGTAACCCTCTTAGAGGACAAAGGAGACTGACATCTACAGCGTATTAGCGGTGTGAGGGGAGGCCATGAGCGGGCCTCCCGCGGAGGGAGTGTGGTGTCGGGGGGACTAAGGTAACAGGAGTATTCCCAGTTTATAAACACTTTTATTACACTACACTTGTTCTTAATAGTATCTCTCAGCAGCAGATGCAGGTAGTGGGGTGTTAAGCTTGAGAGATAAGTCAAATAATGTCGGGAAAGATATCAATAGCTCCATTCCATCCCCTGGGCATGCTAAGTAGCCATTAAGCTCCTTCAATTGAGGAGTTTGTGGATTCATGTTACCAGTGATTTTGATTTTGCCTCTTACAGCGGCTAGTTTATTGTGCACCCCATACTCATCCTGTGAGCGGTAGCGCAAAAGGATTACAGAGTAGAGTTTACAAAGAGTCAGAATAATTAACCCCCGTGGCCGGGCTATTATGGCACTGAATGTTACACAATATTTCAATTACATTATTTGTTTAGTTCTGTACATAGAGGGTAACTTATTCACAACTGCGTGAGTACAGGAGTGAGAGGCAGTATGTCTGGCCTCACACTTTGTTATTCACATTTGCGTGGGAAGTATTCAAGGACAACGTGTGTTTGGTTCTAGACATGGAAACTGATATCGTTACTACGCGCAAAAAAGTGGATATAATCTTGATATGTCGGCTATCTTGCCATTAGAGATGAAGTGTTATGTCATTTCACACACAGTGTGCTTGGACCTGTCCCTAAAAGGTTCTATCTTCACACAGTCGAGGACGTAGTGCTTAAGTGTGTGGCCATATGTATGGCCACACACTTTACATTTAGTATTGTTAACATCTGCTTGAGGAACATACTACCAGAGGTACTTATATCCTATCCTTAATCTAGCGGTTACAACATCTTGTAATCTAGTGATATTGTTACTTGCTCCATGTACATGCTTCGCTTGATACATCCCATCATGGTAAACTATGGATCGACTAGTGCCTGTTTGCACTGGTCTGCTTGCGTCAAAATCTCTCAATAAGTTCTTTCCTAATTACAGTTTTAAGGGTTCTTTTTGACAGACCCATATTGTATTCAACAGTGACTTTGTTAAACGCGAGTTTGGCGAGGGCATCAACTCTGTCATGTTCTCTGAGGCCAATGTGAGAGGGGATCCACAACAGTTTGATCTTGTTACCAGGCCAACCCTCTGGTGGGGGGAGTTATCACAGACAAAACCCCACCTCCCTCAACCACAGGCCTACCTCCACTTCTCTCTCTCCCTTACTCCCCTCCTTCACCTACCGAACGAAGCATTAAGAATAAGAAAAGAGAATTAGAGAATAAAGAAAAGGTAAAAGTAAGTAAATAAATATAAATAAGAAACAAACTCAAAGGAAATAATACCCATTTGTTACACCCCTACGGTAGTTCGTCGTCTCCGTCTCTCTCTCTTATATAACGTGGTACAATACACATGCTGGTGGGCTTCCCCGCTTGTGGTTACGCTTGTGTATTTTCTTTGCCTTTACTTTATACTCTTCGCCAATGATCAGCTCGTTAACCGCTTGGGCGGATGGTCAAGTCTCTGTTACGCACTGTTGGCAAGTATTAGGCATGTACTTGCTCGCCTACAGTATGCTGTCAGCTGTGCATTTGGAGGTGTTACAATCTCTCTGGGTAACTGAGGTGCTGTAGTCAGGGCACCTGTCTGATGGCCCTCCTCTGGACATTTTCAATCAACTGACAGTCTCTAGCACATCACGGGGACAAGACGGGGGTGACAGTACTCCAAACGGGGAAGCACTTCGCTTTTAAGGAGCGTTATGAGGGTCGGACCGACAAGGTGTGCGAACGCTATTCTTACATGACCTACTAGCTTAGGTGCTTGATTTACATTCTTTTCACACTGGTCTCAGAACTTCAGTTCATTGTCAATACAAACTCCGGTCCTTTTCACATTTGGTCTCAGTTAATGATGCTTCCTCTTCTTGCTGGGACATGTAATATTTCCTAACAGTCACTCCTGTGACTAGTCCTGAAGATGACTGAGATTTTCTTGTTGTATTTACCAGTACGTTTGATTCCCATTTCCTTGATTAATCTAGCACCATTCACAAACTTTCGTGTGGAGGAGTGTATAGCTTATGGCATACCCTTTATACCTGTGTCAACCCGCTTGTCACAAGTTCACATGACGATTTCGTGCCATAAATCACCACACGCTGTTTGTGGTCTCGAAGAAAGTCTTTGATCCACGCGAGGAAGCTTCCCCGAATTCCCTACCCTTCCTGTTTAATTTTCAGCCTCAAAAGCCTTCGCAAAATCTAGATATATACTGTGTTATCGATATTGTCACCCCGCTCTAGGATCTGTGTCCACACATCCAACATCTTAAGTAATTGCGTCAAGCGAGCATCCAGGCATAATACCATGTTGGCACTCCTTTACATGGTTGTTTCGTATTAGATGGTCCATCATAGCATCACCTACAATGCACCCTAGTACTTTTCATACTATTCTGGTCATTCTTACCGGCCTATTAATGCAGTGGCGATATCACTGTTTAAATGTAGGACTCACTTATTATTTTCCAGTCTCTGGGGACCTTTTGCTCGTCCATTCATCTGCAGAACATGATTTTAGGGGGCTCATCATGATCGATGCACAACTCTCTTAACACTCTGGGATGCACACTGTTAGGGCCAGGGCTTTTATGAACCTTTAGCTTAGCCAATTTATTTCTAACACACTCCTCTGAGAACTCAATGTGAGTCAGCACGGTGTCAAACCTTCTATCCTCAAACGCAAGGAAGTTGTTCGCATCTTTCTTGGGAACACTGAGGAAAAGAATTTATTTAACACCTCCACCTTGTCCTGATCTGAATCTGAGTAACTACCATATTCAAGTGTAAGGTCTGATACGCACACATGCTTCTTTAATTTTGCTTTTGTGTAGCGGTAGAAAGCATTTGAGCTTGACTTGGCTTCGTTTGAGATCCTTTCACAGACAATAAAAGAATGACAGGTAGTATTTCCCTCTCGGCGAATCCTGTTTAATTGCCCAGAAAACGTGGAGCTGACTTTTCATTCTTCCTCTCTATTATTACATTTTCGCCCCCCAGGCCCTGATTTGGGTCAGTGACCTGTGCCCGGGTGGGCTAATCCCCGTAAAAAAAAAATGTATACATATACGTTCGCCCAGATTTAGATATTTAACCCATAGTACTGTACTTTACCTTCACCCTGCATTACTCTACCTCCCCTAGACTACATCAAGAGGGCACTACGAGGTCCACCGCCCCAAGACGACCCAGCGCTCTTGAAATGGGTGCGGGGGCAACTGGTGCCTCCATCCCGTCTCCCCTATAATCTGTCCTTCTTCATGAGCGGACTTCACCAGGAGGTAGACCTCAACATCTCCTCTTACAGCCCTTCACAGGAGTTTATACTCGGCAAGCTGGAGCAGATCTTTGGGGACAGGGTGAGTTGTTGTTGTGGTTATGCTTAATAGATGCGTTTAAGTTAGTCCAATAATCAGCATACATTGACCTAGCCGATTTTAGTTAACTCAGTGCCCGCCATTCATGATCTGATCTGACTAGTAATGTATGTCCTCGTGTAAGAATTTGGGCAGATTTGGTTAGGGTACTTTTGGTTAAGGGATGTTTGGTTAGGGTAGTTTTGGTTATGGTTTAGGTTGGATTGGTTAAGGTAGGTTTGATTAAGGTTGGTTTAGTTAAGGTAGGTTTAGTTAGGGAAGGTTTGTTTGGGGAGGTATGGTCAGGGTTTGTTAGGTTAGAGTAGGTTTGGTTACGGTATATTTGGTTAGGGTAGGTATGGTTAGGGTTCGTTTAGTTAGAGTAGGTTTGGTTAAGGTAGGTTTGGTTAGGGTAAGTTTGGTTAAAGAAGGTTTGGTTAGGGTAGGTCTGGTTAGGTTTGGTTAGGGTTGGTTTGGTTAGGGTTGGTTTGGTTAGGGTAGGTCTGGTTAGGGTAGGTTTGGTTAGGTTAGGGTAGGTCTGGGTGGGGTAGGTTTGGTTAGGGTTGGTTTGGTTAGGGTAAGTTTGCTAGGCTCGAGTATACTCGTAGTCTCCTTTAGACATCGGCAGCGCCATAGAGTAAGAAGAGTTTGTTCAACTTGGTCACAATTTAGAAGATTTAACGCGAGTGGTCGAGCCAGGTCACGTGTCATCCTTGCGCCAGCTTGCATCCTCATTCAGTCACCGAGTAACCACAGCAAGGTACGTGGCCAAGAAGACACTTTGCTTTAAATGTAATAATTTTGTAACATCTGTCTGTGATAGGCCGTGATATGGCTTACTGTGTTGCCTGGGGATGTTGCAACCGTCCAGGAATGGGGAAGATAAGGCACAGATTACCGAGAGACTCAAAAAGTTGAAAGTAATGGGAAATCGAAGTCTGCCTGCATTTTCTATATGCACTCTGTGTATACCTGCACACTCTGTATACAATTTATACGTGCACGGAATATAAATTGTGTATACCTGCAGTATCTATATACACTATGAGTATAGCTTTAATGTCTATTACATGCTGAAACAATGTGAACTTAATTAGGGTCGACTCTAGCTTCTGAGGGGCCCTGTGCAAGATAATTGTTGGGGCCCCATTCCTTAGACAACCCTCCCAGGGCTTCCCCCCCATCGTGCCCAGTCCCTCACCCACATATATTCCTGATTTTCTATGGTAACATCATCTTGATAAAAGCGCACATCCAATATTATACTGAATATATACTGTTATGCAAACATACGTGCAAATATATAACAGAAAGGTAAATCAGTATCAGTTGCCAGGTTTTTATATACAGAAACCGTTAAACTTCAGAATTGTTGTCGCCAGTTGACTGAAACGCGCTCGCCTGTAGTTTTGAGATGCACATGCAACACGACATATAAGAATCGAAATATATATCCTACTAAACAACAAATATATTCAGGAGCCCCCCCCCCCAAAGAGCCAAGAGATGGGGGGCCCTGTGCAGCCGCACAGACCGCACATAGCTGGGGCCGGCCATGAAATTAATGATAATTTTATTGAATGAAGATCTGTATATATCTATCTACCTATCTGAGCGTCTAATCTATCTAGCTACTCTCTCTCTCTATATATATATATATATATATATATATATATATATATATATATATATATATATATATATATATATATATATATATATATATATATGTGTGTGTGTGTGTGTGTATATGCAAGTAAATCACTGTAGGTCTCCGTGATCCAAGTATATGCTGATAACCACAAGGAAACAAGAAAACACGAGGTTCCCAAGCGCTTTCGTGTAATTCACATCTTCAGGGGTGAGTACAGACTAAGGAGAAATACTTGACAAGGCTAATATATACAGAAGAGGAGAGTGAAGCTCCGACTCTATACAGAGATAGTGACGAAAATAAATTAAGCGAGATTGTAGTGACTAGTAACGATGTTAGTAAGCAAATAGACAAACTAAAGCCTAATAAGTCACCAGGTCCCGATGAGATATTTGCCAGAGTATTAAAGGGATGTATGGAAGAGCTTAGTATGCCCTTAGCAAAGTTGTTTAACATGTCCTTAAAAACAGGTGTAGTAAAAGAATCCTGGAGAATAGCGAATGTAATTCCGATTTTCAAGAAGGGAGATTGATCATTATCCTCTAACTACCGTCCAATCAGTCTAACATCAATTGCAGGCAAATTACTGGAAGCAATCATTTCAAACTCTATTCGAAATCACCTGGAGAAACACAAGTTGATCAATGATTCCCAAAATGGCTTCACAAGCGGACGTTCATGTCTAACTAATCTATTAACATTTTTTTCATCAGTTTTCGAATTATGATGTGGTATATCTCGACTTTAGCAAGGCCTTCGACAGAGTCCCCCACGAAAGACTAATAAGAAAAGTGGAGGCTCATGGCATTAAAGGTGATATTCTAAAATGGATTAGGGCGTGCCTACAGGACAGAAAACAGCGAGTGAGCATTATCGGCACTAAATCACATTGGAGCAACATCACTAGTGGAGTTCTGCAAGGCTCAGTACTCGGACCATTATTATTTTTTATATACATAAGCGACATATATATTGGCGTAGACAGCAACATAAGTAAATTTGCTGATGACACTAAGATAGGACATGTAATTAAATCTGACGAGGACTCGGCAAAACTACAGGAAGATCTATACAAATTTTTCGAATGGTCTGAAAAATGGCAGATGTGGATTCAATGTGGACAAATGTAAAGTACTCAGTATAGGAGATGTAAACAGGGAAACCAGATACCAGATGAACAACGATGTTATTGAGAAATCCGACTGCGAGAGAGATTTAGGAGTAATGATAAGTAGGAATCTTAAACCAAGTAAACAATGTGTATTTGCTAGAAACAAAGCTAATGAAGTACTTGGGTTCATACAAAGGAGTGTTAGTTACAAGAATTAGCGAGGTCATCTTAAAACTATATCTTGCGCTTGTGAGACCTCACTTGGATAACGCAGTTTAATACTGGTCACCGTATTACAGAATGGATATAGAATCCTTGAAAAGAATTCAGAGGAGAATGACAAGACTAATCCCGGGCATTAGGAACCTTGAGTACAGAGACAGGTTAAGGCATCTTAATTTGCACTCCCTCGAGAGACGTAGAGTGAGGGGCGACATGATCGAGGTGTATAAATGGAAGTCAGGGCTAAACAAAGGGGACATTACAAAGGTACTCAAACTTTCCAACCAGGAGCAAACTCGTAACAATGGTTTTAAATTAGACAAATTTAGATTTAGGCGGGAAATAGGTAAACATTGGTTTGGAAATAAGAGTAGTGGACGATTGGAACAAGTTACCAAATATCATCATTAACTCGAATACGCTGGATAGCTTCAAACTTAGGTTGGATGGATATAAGAGCAATAGGGGCTGGGTGTAAATGGGACTGCCCTGTATGGGCCAATAAGCCCGCTGCAGTTTCCTCCATTCTTATGTTCTTATGTTCTTATGACCGTAGGTGTCCACGGTGGTCCGGTCATTAGGCAGTGACCCTACTAATCTTCATAAGCACTGCAGCTCTCCGTAGTCAGGTCATAGGGTAAGATGACCCAACCTTCTCACCTAGTTACAAATCTTCTTAATTACAAAATTATCCAGTTTGCACATTACTCAAATTCAGGTTGACGAATTCGGTATGTTTAATGAGACTGGATTCTATAATGTTCCTACTGACAATTGAATTACAAGGTAATATTGAGGAGGCATTATGAAGATGAGTAGGGTCATTGCCTAATGACCGGACCATCGTGGACACCTATGGTCCCCTAAGGATTTGATCTCACTCTCCTCTTCTGTATATATTAGCCATGTCAAATATTTCTCCTTAGTCTGTACTCACCCCTGAAGATGTGAATTATACGAAAGCGCTTGGGAACTTCGTATTTTCTTGTTTCCTTGTGGTTATCAGCATATACCTGGATCACACGGACCTACAGTGATTTCATTGCATATATATATATATATATATATATATATATATATATATATATATATATATATATATATATATATGTATACACACACCAGTTTATCTAACAATTATCAACCTCTGTATGTATCTATTTGTATTTAACTTTGATTCTTGATACTGTTTAATATAGTAGTGAGAAATGAAAAAAAAGGAAGCATCTTTAGTAGAAAACTTGTTTCTTACCTGAGAATAAACCAATTCAGCGAGAGGAATTCACTTTTTCATACACATTTTTTTCTTTATTTTTTCTATAACCAAAGGCGCTCCATGCTACCAGACAACTCCATGTTTCCATGCTGGCGCCTGTTGTGAAGTTGGCCAAATTCTTCTACTCTATGGTGTTGGACACCTCCCTCTTGCACCAATCACAGGTTGGCTGACAGATGCTCCTTAACCTAAATTCTTTTATTGTTCTGAACAGATAGAGCAGCCTGGCACATTCCTGGAGGCCGGAGCGTATGACGGTGAGTTCCTGTCCAACACTCTCTACCTGGAGCACGAGTATAACTGGCGTGGGGTGCTGATCGAAGCTAACCCCATCTTCTTCCAGCAGCTGATACTCAAGCATCGCAGGAGCTGGGCCCTCAACCTCTGTCTCAACACAAAGCCCTACCCATCACAAGTATGTGAGTGTGTGTGTGTCCCTGTAATGGCCCCTGTCTCATCAACAGAACGTATTATATAAATGGGTTATTTACATCTGATTTATATTCAGATTCACCCCCTGTACTTTTCCACTATCTATGAGTAAGACATGAACTGATCACGTGAAGGGTAACTTTCCCAAGAGGGAGAAGCCCATATGTCAGTATCTATGTAAGCGCGCACCAGTGTGACGCTCTTAGTCAGTCACTCATACCAACTAATATCGAACGGACGTTGATCTATGTTTATATTACATAAACGCCGTCCTTTCTCATTCACTCATAAATAGTGGAACTTACGGTTGATATACACTCAGGAATTATAAACATAATACTTTTATAATAAAACAAGAAACTTCAATTGGGTTTTGTTACTAAAAGCTCAATATATATTATATGTGTACCAACCTGGTTAACTGGGGAATTAACCAGCATAACATATAAGGTGGCAGCTCGTGTGGGTACGGAAGCTTTAAGGCAGTATACGTACCAAGACGTCAGTGTTTTGTGAAAACAAGAAAACAAAAAACAGTGACGTGTTACATAATCCGAGTGTTAAAACTGTATCCCGTATCGAGACGATAATTAGTGAGTGCTCCTCTTCTCTGTCACCCACAAGAGGTGCAGGTATTATTATAATATCATACAGCCTGTTTGGTGAAAATCCTGTAAGTAACAAGTAAGGAAGCCCCAAGTCAGCATAGTGTTGTCTACATTGTTGCAGATGGTTTCAAAAGCTTTACTAACAATTGACATTTCATAAGTAGCTGGACTGTTGTGTGTTTCGCGAGCGTTGATTGCAGTATATCCGGTGTCATCAGACAGTTCTCCATACAGTATATATGAGACTGAAGAAGTTTGGCACACGGCAGAAGCGACATTGACTCAGCAGAAGCAAGAAGAACCTTTCCGACATATTCAGCAGTATCTGATCATACAGTGGAGGTAATCCCCTGTCGTGAAGTGGACTCACCCGCCGTCGTGTTGCAGCGCATTATTCTTGTTGCCAGGGAAACCAGCTGGAGGCGCGCGCATTCAAGGACGAGTGAAGAGGCCCCGCCTACTCTCCCACTACAGATACCAGCTGGACGGATAGCATTTTCTATACAGACGCGGTAACTCCTGTTTTAGGTATTTCAAAAGTATACATTGTTTATACACACATTAACACGTTCGAGGCATACACAATGATAGGCTCATCGGATAGGGGTATGCCATTGAAATAAGTGTCTTATGTATATTCGTGTGTATTGACGTTATATAATTTGCAGATTCACCCCCTCTACTTTTCCACTACCTATGAGTAAGACATGAACTGATCACGTGAAGGGTAACTTTCCCAAGAGGGAGAAGCCCATATGTCAGCATTTATGTAAGCGCGCACCAGTGCGATGCTCTTAATCAGTCACTCACACCAACTAATATCGAACGGACGTTGATCTACGTTTATATTACATAAATGCCGTCCTTTCTCATTCACTCATAAATAGTGGAACTTACGGTTGATATACACTCAGGAATTATAAACATAATACTTTTATAATAAAACAAGAAACTTCAATTGGGTTTCGTTACTAAAAGCCCAATATATATTATATGTGTACCAACCTGGTTAACTGGGGATTTAACCAGCGTAACATCCCGGTAACTGGTGCCACGTGGGCCCAGGCTAGACTAGTAGGGGATCTTGGAGTAGCAGCGGGCCCCAGAGAGATCACGCATAGGCCCAATGGCATGTGGACACGTCCTGGTGCCTACCAACTACAGGCCCACTGCCTTGTGGATTAACCTTGATAGGTATAAGGCTACGGGAGTAAACCCCGAACGAAAAATCTGTGGTGGAGCCCCCATCAGGCAGACATGCTTCCAGAGCTCCAACAAAACCCCAATGGCGGTATAGGCAGAAGAGGTGACCAACATGGGAACTCTACGACTACACTGGCGAACGAAGGCAATGCATAATGGACAGGCAACTAGGGCGAAACCCAACAAACTGGGCTATCGGCAGTCCAACTCCCTCTCCCCAGTTATTGCAACACTTGCTCCACCGGATTAGGAAAGGGGAGAGCCAAGATGTATGGTTGCAGTCTGTGCTCCTGCCTCACCACATAAATTAACTCACGTGCAGCCATCATCTAGCTCATCATACCTCTCATCATCATCAAACCCTTATACCCCAAAAGTTTTATGACGACGGACAAGTGGCGACGGAGACAGGCAGAGATGACTGCCAGGAGTCTCTAGTCACAACTCTGCACATGGGCGGCATAGATAAGATGTACGTTTATGCACTGGGATCTAGGCAGCAGTGCAATCTGGTCCTGTCTGTGCGACTGAACAGCCCTTTCGAGGAGCCATTCTGCTCACCCCACATGGGGAGGGGGCTAGAAAAGGTGCCCTAAACATAGCCTGCCTGAAGAACCAATGTGACTGGGCAACCGCACCCAGTAAGGTCATTCTGATGTGGTCGAAAACACAATTATGATCTCAGATAAAAAAAAAAAAACTATACAACCACTTATGGTCGCTGCATGGAATGTCAGGACCCTTCTGGGTACTAGCACACATGAGTGTCCTGAAAGAAAAACCGCCCTTGTGGCAAAAGAGCTGGCTAGGTATAACACTGACATAGCAGCCATTAGTGAGTCCCGACTCCCAGACGAGGGTCGACTCACGGAACAGGGGTCTGGCTATACCTTCTTCTGGAAGGGTAAGCCTGCTGCGTAGAGAAACTGCATGTATGGAGTTGGCTTTGCCATCCGCCGATGCATCCTACATAGGCTAACTGAAATGCCTGTTGGGATCAACGAGCACCTCATGACGCTCCGAGTCCCACTGAATCACTCACGTCATGCCTTTTTCATCAGTGCATACGCCCCAACACTGGATGAAGAGGATGACATCAAGGAGGCCTTTTACGCTGTCCTTGACAGAGTGCTAACCTCTATCCACAGAGAAGATAAGGTTGTGCTCCTTGTGGAGATGTTCAGGGTACTTGGTTCTAACCACAGGAACATAACACCTGTAGAGTTCTGTAGATTCTATTCAACGGAAATATACAAGGGTGTGCTTACAAGAGCGGGTAGTCCTTACACTCCTATATGGGTCAACTGAACTCTCTCTGACCTCTCATGCGACATGTGGTAAGTGGCACATTCGCAGCTTCCAGATGTCGCCAGGCACATTTATCTAAGCGTGTGGTGACATGAAACAGGGGCATTGCCACACGTTACTGACTAGAGAAGTAATGTATTTAAATGGGCTACATACATAGTATACATACAGCATACATAATATACATACACCTCCACCCCCCCCCCCTATACGCTCATAGCAAAGTCTTGAGGGGACCTTTTCCTGTGGATCCATTCTGAGCGTCGAGGGGCTTGATCACTGGGGGGGGATATGGGACTCAGCACTGGTGGCGGGGTCAGCGGAATGCGTTACTGGGCGGAGGAAACGGCGGTTCCTCCACCACACCCGACCGCTGGGTAACCGCACCTGGTAGTCCTGTGATCTACCGAGACCCATGACTACGCCCACTTTGTCCCAACGTAGGGAGGTCGGGTCCTGGACACGGACTTGGGTGCCGACACTCAACCTGGGGAGAGGACGGGCGTAGTCGTTGTGGCGGGCAACGACGTCTTGAATACGTTCGGCGGCTCGGCGATCACAATCCTCTATCTTGGCCTGCCATTCCTTGGAGAGGGATTGAGGGTGAGCAGGGACACAAGAACGGAGGGGGATTCCCTACAAGACTTGGGCAGGGGAGTGTCCGGTGTAATTGGGTGTGTTGCGGAGCTCAAGGAGACCCTGGTCGAAGGCCTCGCAGTCAATATTCCCAGAAGGGGCCAGTTTGAGGATGAGGTGCTTCAGGGATTTGACAGCAGCCTCAGAGTGGCCGTTGGACTGCAGGTAATGAGGCGGTGACAACACATGCCGGACTCCCCAACGGTCGAGGAACGCAGCAAAGTCCGGGCTTCTGAACTGGGGCCCTCCGTTGGTTCGCAGGCGCACAGGAACGCCCACGTCACGGAAGTAGTGGCGGAACTTGCTGATGGTGGCGGCAGACATCGTATCATTACCGCACTTGATGACAACCGGCCAACCAGAGAGACGGTCGACGATAACCAGGAAGGACTCTCCTGACACAGAGAAAAAGTCGGCCGACACAGACTGAAAGGGGCGGGTGGGGTTGTCGTAACTCGTGAAGGGTTCCTGCTGTTGGCTGGGTTGTAGAACTTGGCAGGGCTCACACTCGTGGACAGCATTGGAGATGTCGGGGTCGATGCCAGGCCGGAACACAGTTTGGTGGCCTCGGCTCCACGGTGACTCGTGGAGGCGAGCCAAGGCTTGGGGACGTGAAGCAGCAGGGACAACTACCGAAGGAGAGGCGTCACTGGCCAGAGGTAGGGGTAGGGCGGCAGCAGGGTAGTTGCTGCTCCCTTCGTGCACCCTGTTGGCGTATTTTACCTCGAAAGTCGGTGTTGGGAAATCCTGGGAGATGATGGCCAACTCTTGGCAATGTCTGTAGGACAGCAAAGGAGTCGGGATACCATTATGCACGTCAATCCAGGCTTGACACGACCTGTTGCCAAAGGTGACATGTGCATAGAGTAAACCTAGGGCTGAGGCGATCTGTGAACCGTCTGCCGTGATGCGGAGGTCCTTGGGAGGCGGTCCTAGATCACTTGGAGAGAGCCCCAAGCATTGCAAATGCTGGGGACCGATGACCTTAGCCTCAGCGCCGGTGTCGGGCAGCATCTCGAGACAGGATGACATACTGCCGTAGGTCACGATGACGCTGACGTGCTGGGGGACTTTGGTCCTGGGATGCTATGAGGAGTACACCCTCCTAATATGGGTGGGGCTTTGTCCAGGGTCGTTGTGCCTCTGATTTGGCGACTGTGGGCGGCCCTCACTGGTGGAAGGGCGCTGCTGCTTCCGCCGACGCTGTCCCTTGGGTATGTTTGTCGGG